AGTCAATGTAAATAGTTCAAGATGCATTTAAACAGTTGTTACTATAGTAACAACACCAATATTTAATAACAATGTTAGAGTTTTATAAATGTCGACCATTGTTTTATCTGACAGATACTGCAGCTATTGTGAAGCCGAAGCAGAACCTTCCGCCTGGTGTCTACGAGGTGACGCTGATGGTGAAAGACCAGCATGGACAGACTTGCCTAGATCCACAGAAAATCTACATCATTATCTGTCAGACTAGGAAAGTCGATGCAAATCCGGTTAGCAAATTAGGAAATGCAGGATTAGGCGTTCTTCTTCTGGGATTGATGCTTCTGATATGTGAGTATGACTGGGTTCTTATTTTTTTGCAGGATAATGTAAATACACAGCTTAAAGCTCCCATTTTCTTGTTAAGTAGTTTGGGTCCCTGGAAATCCAGGTTTTATTACTAGGAATTAGTCATGATTTTTTATGTTTTCCACATGAGTTTAGCAGAATGCCTCCCGATCTATCACCTCAAAACAACCCAGTAGGACTGCTTCAGCTTCATAGGGATTAGATTAGATTAGATGCAGTTTAGGTCTAACCAGAAGTGCAATAGCAGCAAGTGCAGGATATACAATGCTATTACTATAAAATGAATAAATAAAACTTGGACTGAAGCTTTCTGTATTAAAGTGCAGTGGAAGGTAATTGCATATTACAGTTAAAGTACGGTAATGCAGATATATATGTAAACAATCAGTACTGTAATTAAACAGTTGGAGTGCCAATCAATATTCCAGTCCAAGATGCATTTAAACAGTTGTTACTATAGTAACAGTCAGCATGGTGGCTGGTGTGAGGAGGGGGAGGAGAGTCTATTAATATGTGAGCGGAGTGGGATCAGAGTTCAATAAACAGACAGCTCTGGGAGAAAAACTGTTCTTTAGGAAATAAACTTCTTAAATTCTTTTTTTTATCCCAGAAGGCCTCTGGAAACGTTGACCCAGAAAAACCATTTGCTAAAAGCAGGTGTTGTTCTGTGATTAAAGTATCTCTGACAGCATGAAAAAAAAATTAAATGTTGCTAGAGTTACCAAATACGGCCAAAGATAAACACTATTATGGATGAAAACATTTCATTAGCATTTAAAGGAGAACTCCGGTCAGCAAGGAATAATCAATGATTCATTATTTATACATAAAAACGATTATTTTCGCAGTTATTTGATGAATTTAGGGTTAATCAGTAAAAAAATAGAATTATGAATTTCGTTGCGATCACTTTAGTCTGGGAGCGGCCATTTTTCCCGTGACGTCACTAACCAGT